AGAATGGGTACAGAGCGGATCTCTTCCGTTACGTGGCCCCGGTAGACATCTTCCAGATTTCTTGGCATAGACAAGTGGGTGCCTTCAGTGCAGCATCTGTTTGCTGAACACTTCAATTAGCATTCCACCAACTTCTGGAGTCTTGGTTTTTGCTAATGCCTTTAATGCAACGTGGACGTTTTCTTTCCATATCGGTGTTTGATCTACCTCTGGACTTGGTTGAACAGTGACCAATTCTCTTTGATAGCACAGCTCCGTGCCTGCCTTCTATCTTCTTCATCGACATTTTTCATTGTGAGTTGGGGGGAGAGCTACAAAGCAGATGAGCTGTGTTACGTTTGATGCTTCCTCCATAGTTTGTTTCACCGTATTCCTCATGATTCCTTCAATGTAGCATCACCCATTCTACCGCCTCCCTGTGTTTCCTGTGTCCATCCCTCCTTTCCTAACCTTTCTGAATTTTGTCCATGTGTAAGTGCTGTCTCCCTGATCTGGAATGTTCCATTACCCTAAGGTGTGTGTGTGAGCTAAGTTTTTGGGTCTGTTTGGCCAGGCCAGGTTTCTCAGTGGTTTGACAGGTACAAGCTATCATTTCCTGTAATGAGAACTCCTTGAAGCTGTGGCCTGCTTCCACTATAAGTTGACCCTGTGGGAAAACTGGCTTGGCTTATGGCTGCATCCAACCTGTCCACCCTCTGGGTCTTTGGATTTGAGTCAGCACCCTGTCAATCCTGCGAGTTGTCAGTAGCCTGCTCTACTACATGCTGGCCTTGTATTAATTCCCCTCCGCCACCGTAAGCCTGACCTGGACCTTGACTTCATTCACCTCTGCAGCCAGACGTCTGTCACCTTCTTGCTGATCTTGGGTACATCACCCCCTGCAGCTACATACGCTAATAATTGACCCACCAACTCACTCGGGACATTTGCATAACCCCATATTGTCATTTGGTAGGAGTTGTAAGGACAATGACTCGAAGGACCATATTCAGTAATTCACTACATCACATACAATCTTGAATAACTATACCCTTTCTCTCTACCTCTTCCCCGGTAGAATGAACACCTGGTAAGCTATCTTGCTGGTGAACTCATTGGAATCTCTCTCCTAGAGATGACTAATTTTGGTTTTCTGCCTCATACGTCCTTTTTTGGCAGCTCACTTCTCAGCTGGGACATGTAGCAATCCGGATGGGGGAACCTGACTGAATCTGATGGTCAGTAGGGCAGAGGATACAATGAGCCAAGAACAGAGCCTGACTTATTCAGGATGGGACCCTGCTGAGTCCTCCATTCCCCCATAGGAAGATCATGACAGGGAGCACAGACCTACAAACTTGCCCCATGCTATGGTCTCTCGTTGAAGGACCTGCTGCTTTATTTCAGTCCAGGTTTCACCAAGACTGACCGGCAGTACAGAGTCTCCCACATACAGGAAGGCCACCCTTCCCCCTCATCTCCTGACTCCTTGAGTTGTGGCGGGACGGCGCCAAATCACCGCTAGGTATGCCTGGCGCCATCTTGATTCCAGTCTAATGCGGGAAGCTGTTATTTAAAGATAAGGGAAACCACAGTTCACACCCTCCTTCGGTAATCTGATGGAGTCTCAGCATTGCGGAATCACTTCTGCTCTGGTGATAACCCATGGAAAGTTAAGAGGATCTCCAGCCTGCTTCTCTAAGGGATGCCATTAAGCCACGTGAGCTCACACATTAACTCAGCTACGGGCCCTGGTGGGTACTTCCAAGTTCAAGGGAAGAGGGGATGTGTCAGGAGTGTGGGCCTAGTGGTGCCACCATTGGTAACAGAGAAAATCCAGCCCACCAGTTTCAAAGCTGACACAAACGAAGAAGCAGAGCGTTGGTGCAGACCCTTGGCGACGTGCCATGCTGCCGAACAGAATTCCGTTCTGTTGGATTTTCCAGGGTCGGACCTCCTCCCGGAGGTGTTTCTGGGTGTGTTTGAACTGTCAGCTGTTCAGCTACCAGTTCAGAGCTTAACCCTTATACTACGTACACAAGGACTTCAGTTTAACCCTGAAAAGGATACTTTGCAATGGAGAAAAATGCAAGGTGAATCTCTATACGCAGCAGTAGACTAATGGTGGTTAGAGAATTTCTTGTGCTCCGTGGGGCATCTTTGGGGGGCAATGGCAGTATCCCCAGCTTTCCCACAGAAGCAGTATCATCATATGCGTACCCCCCCCCCAAGTTGGCAGTGGATGGACTCACCAGGAGGGGAGAGCACATGACCTCATGGCTTCCTTGAGATTCACTCCCCGCTGGGGGGTCTCTAAGGTGATCCTAAGGTGCCAGTCCCGGAGAAGTCTTTTCTTTTCCCGTCCCTCTCACAGCCCAAATGTAACCAGAGGCCCAGGCCAGTCTGCAGCGGTCAACGCTCAGGCTGACCATCAGGCCGGTAGACACACTGAGCCGGAAGCATGAAATCTAGAGGCAGCTCCCCTCTGGAAGAGACAGATGGCGAGACCTTTTAAAATCTACAGGTGGCGGAGAAAGAACCTTAAAGTAGCCAGAGCTCCCTCCCGTATCAGGTCAAAGCCCTCTTCTGTGTCCTCTTGCCCTGTCTGAGGATTGTCTTTGACCTCGAAATGTCCCTCATGCCCACAGGAGCCTCCTCACCTCCTGCCCACAGTACTGCGATCTCGCCGGATCTAACCAGCTACCTGAGCAGAAACCAAGCCAAGAGTTGTCTGCTGACTGGACCTGAGGTTTGTTTTGCCTCCTCCCCTATCACCCCTGTGGACCCCCAAGGCCTGCAGGCCTTCACTTTGTAGTGCTATTTTGGCTAAGGAAAGGGTGGTTTGTTGTTGTTTAAATTGCGTTGACAAATATATATATATAGTTCAATCATTTTACTGGGAGCTCTTACAGATATCATAACATTCCATAGTTTAATCACATCAAGCGGTATCGTACAATTGCTACTGTACAATGCTACCACAATTGGTTTCCAAACATTTTCTTTCTTCTTGAACTCCTTGATATCAACTCCCCTTTATCCCCACTCCCTCACCCTACCCCCAACCCTTATGTATTATTTTCCCCCTGTAATAGTTGTTTTATTTATTTTTTCCATATCTTATACAATCCAATATATCCATTCACATACAATTCTGTTGTGCAGTCCCATAGATTAGGGTTATATAGTCATCAATACTATCAGTTCTTTATCCTCCCCACACCCCCTTTCCATACACTCAGGGAACCATTGCTCCTGTTACTGTTTCTGAAGGGTTATCTATCCTGGCTTTCACATACGGAATGATCTTAAATATGCAAATGAACACACGCAAATCTAATGATTACTGAGGTAAAACAAATAAAAACCATAGCAGTAAGGGGAGGAAATAGTAAAGAACTAGAGGACAGTTCTGTGGCTCATCAGTGCTACACCGCACCCTGGATTTATCATCCCTTCTGTATTAGTCTAGGTACTTTGGAGAAACAAATCCACAGCAACTCACGTATAAGAGAGAGTTTTATGCAAAGAAAATGTGCATCACGAAAACATCCCAACCCAATGCTGCCCAAGCCCACAAGTCCAACATTAACCCATACCCAACACCAGTCCACAAAGTCCTTCACCTCACAAAACAGAGGCAATGATGCCGACTGCAGGAGGAAAGCTGAGTCAGTGAACGTGTAAGCATCTCAGCACTGGCAGGGGTCTCCACATGGCTGCTCCAGCACCCAGGGCTGCATCGGGATAGATCCATGCGGCTTCTCCTTGGGGATGTCTTGTAGGAAATCCATCTTGCAAGCTGAAGCAGGGAACTGCTAAGGCAGCTGCACCCGATGCAACCATCACAAAACAAGAGACCCGAGAACTAGAAAGGCGAGGCTTCACCACCCATTTATCCCTCCGCCTTTCAACCAGCACCACATGTGATTATCGGCCAGGCTGGCACAATTAACTAACTCACCTTCCATGTTTGATCTTCTACGTGTGAGTGGGGAGAAGCAGGAGGGTTCTAGTCCTGTAAAGAGTTATAAACTCAGAAACCCTCAGGGGCAGTTCTGCGCTGTCCTGTTGGGTCACTGTGAGTCGGAATCAATTCAACGGCAGGCAGTGAGCTTTAGTTGTTTTATTTTTTATGTGTTAGGGATCTTCTGTATCTTCCATTCCAGTGGGAGGAGCAAGCAGACACTAAGCAGGGCAGCTAGAAGTGCCGGAAGGCAGTGGTTCTAACGCGGCTTTCAGGTCAGAAGCCTCCAAACATCTTGATACCCGGGCGTCTCTCCGGACTTACTGCACTCAGTTTCCAGAGGTGGAACCCAAGCACCAGCAGTTTATGAAGCTCCCTGAGTGAGTGCCAACGCACCCCCACTGAGAACAGCTGCTGTAGGTGCTTGAAGGAAATCAGCGGGGGCTGATGGGGAGGGCTGGGGCTGGGTGCACGGTAGAGACCGTTCTCAGCGGGAGCCTCTCTGGGGGTGCAAGCTTGGTCTTGATCCTTTCTTTCTCTTGCCCTTCAGCTTCACGTCGCGTTAGCGTTGGTGGAGGTCAGCCTCATTTTTCACCTGCATTAAGCCTTTTTTTTTTTTTTAAGGATGAAAGTCTCTGGTGCCAAGTATCATTATTTTGAAGCAGCTGGAGTGGATGGCTGGTGCCTAGGAAGCTAAGATTGGAGAGGTAGACAAATATGGGAGGGGCCATCAGCAGGCTGAACCTTCATCCTTATAACGACTGACAAGCGCTCATGGGCTTGAAAGAGGTGGTGACATGGCCCAATCATCTGACAGCTGTTCTCTATCCATCCTGCAGTCCAGTGCCGGTCATTACGTGGCTCCCTTTCAAAAGCATGACGGCAGGTATCATCCATTTTGTTCCGGGAGTCCTTTGGTGCCTTAAACTCAGACCTCACAATAGCCCCTAACTGGGCCAGTTGTGATGCAAGAAACATCTGTGACTGTCTCTTGGGGTCCCATGAAATTGACCAAGAAGCAAACTCCAGGCATTAGCATCTCCCACCCTAGCCTATGGTCGAATATGATCAAGGAATGGGGGATTATGGCTGTTGGAACACTGGGAGCCCCAAACAAGATGCAGGGGCGGAAGAGAAGAAGACCGAGGAGGAGAAGTCAAACAAGAAGAATGGAAAGTCAGTCAGAATACTCGATGGGAGACATCCCTTCCAGGGTAAAGGCTCCCTGTTTCATCAGGAGGACCAATACCCAGTTTCCCAGCTGTGGTGAGTCTAATCCCGGCTTCCGTTCGTTCCTTCGATAGCAGAAAGCAGCCATGTAGTGGGCCCAGTCTGGTGACTGGAAACCCTTCCTCACAGGGTTGCAAAGTCTCAGAGAGAGTTTCGCTTTGTGAGGTTTCTCACCCTATGTGGAGAAGCGAGGAAGTCCTTTCTAATGTACCCACCTCTCTGCCACCCAGGATTTGGACCCAGTTCTACAAACCAGACCCACGCATTGCCCTGGGGAAATACTCCCCCTTGGAAAAAGAGATCCTAGTAAGTGCTCTGAGGAGTCCTGGTGGTGTAGAAGTTCCTCGTTGGGCTGCAATCGGCAAGGTTGGCAGTTCGAAACCATCAGATGCCCTGCAGGAGAAGGATGGGGCTTTCTTCTTGGGTCACTATGAGTGGACATCGACATCCTGGCAGTGAGTTTAGTGTGGTTTAAGTAAGTGCTCTGAGTTTACAAGCAGGCAGAGGCCACTGAACTCCAGGCAGTGTCGCTAGGGGGAGCCAGAGGTTTAAAAACTACTGACAATCCTCTCCAATGGACCAGGGGAGCCAACACTTGCAGACCTAGGAATCCCTTATTTAAATGTTCCCCATTAGGAATATAAGGGGTCATGGAAAAATTCCTGTACCATTGAAATCCCTTTTCCCACGAACTCTTTGAGGCTCCCTTGTACACCTGTAAGGGATAGCAAATGATGAAAACTTCTTCTTTGGGCCCTTACAATGCCCCTGCAAAGAGGAGACAATTCTTTCTTTTAATGTTTGACATGAACTCGTCCTTAAAGACTCCAAGTCCACTTGACTTTGCCTCCTTTTAAAAGCCACTGAGACCAAAATTTAGATCTGATGGGGTAAGGAATCTGGAGGGGTTTCCCCCCTCCACCTCCGTGAAGCAATTTTAATTCTATTTATTTACTTATATTATTTTTTGGCAAGGCAGTTCTTTTGAGCCCATTGAAAGTAGGGAGTCGAGTCAGGATTTGATTTGAAGACAGGCTTAATCTGACACCCAAGATTCATTCTTTCTCACTCTCGCTCTCTCTGCATGGAAGACCTAACACACTCAGCAGTGGAGGGAGAGCTAGCTCAAGACGGTTTCTTTCTGTGGGTGCCCCCATCCCTGAGTGATTGAGATTTTAACAAGCCCCCCCAATGTCCAGCACCTAGGTGGTACCCACACAATCTCAGCAAGAAGGTTTCTGGCTCGTAAGCAAGAGGAAGAACGGAAGATGCTGAAGGAGCTAAAGTTGTTGTCCTCAGACTACAAACAGGCAAAGACGTACAAAACACAGAGTTTCTTTCCTTGTTCTATCTGTGGACCCTCGGAAAAAATATGGACAGCAAAGGTGGTGGTGCCTCCAGGGGAGCTGACCATGCCACCCCGAGAAAGAACCAACATCGACAAGCACATAGAAAGGATGCGCTTCGCTCGAGTCCTGGGCAGCGGACAGTTTTCACACTACCCTGAAAGGTTCGGGGACTCTACGTATTCGTCACGAGCACGCCTGGACCCATTGGCAAAAGACAAAGCCCGAGGCACGGATGAGAACCGGGGCGCGAATCCCACAGAGGCTGCTGAGCAACAGGAAAAGAAAAAGACAGGGGACAAACCCACAGGAAGACAAGAAATAAAATTGAAGGTCACTTTCAAGTCAGAAGAACCCAAAAAATGTGTCCCCTGTAATGTGAATGAACGGAGATCCCTGCTCCCCACCAGAAAACCGGAGCGGTGCATCACTGGCCTAACGAACCGGTGCCTGTTCCACTCTTCCGATTTCCCTGGGGATCTGATGCTAATGAATCAGGATTTTATATCTCGGGGAACCCGCCCCAATGATGTGATGAAGGCCTGCCTGCCCAGAAACAAGGGCAAAACGGTTTCTCGTGATTATTAAAGTTTATTTATTCCCTGGGGTAACCAGGTGCCTGGCTCTTCTTACTCCTTCGAGCTCTGCCCAGACTTCTTCGCAGCCCGGGGTCAGATCCGGACTTCCTCTGCTGGATCTCCAGGGGCCCCTGAAGGCAGCACCGAGCTGCAGCGTATCCCCACTTCCAGGCAGTTCTTAGTTCTTACTTCCCACTCCTATCAATTCCCAGAGCATCATTTCCCCCTCCCCTCCCCGCCCACCCCACCCTGGGTTTATTCCCACTGGCACCCATATCAGTCATCTGCTGTGACATAAATTCCCCCAAACTTAAGGTCTTAAAACAACGGCCACTATCTAGTCTATAATTCTAGGTGATCATTCCAGCCTTTCACGAAGCCCAGAGTTCCCGGTGTCAGCCCGCTCATTTGACTCGAGGCATTCGTTCAGGATCCGCCCCTCAGTCCCTGTCCACTGACGTTGGTTCAATCAATGGTGCTAATTGTTTCTCTTTTTGTAGCGTGTGAGAATCCTAGGACAACTTTTGTCCCGTGGTTGTCATAAGCAGAACACTTACTATGATCTCCTTCTTACAGATGGGGAAATGGAAACCTTAGCAGATATAGGCCTCGCCTGGAGTTGATAACAATGCAAAGTCTTGTATCAAACACCAAAACCAAAACAACACCCAAAACACAAACCCACACCCCAAACTCATTTCCATCGAGTCAATTCCAACTCAGGGGAACCTACAGCTCAAGGGTGTCAAACTCAAGTAAAACGCGGGCCATTTGGCGCAGCAGGCAAGATTCATGCAGGCCACATCATCACATTTACAAATTTTGTTAAATTTAGATTTTGAAGTGAGGATTCGGGAATATGGATAGGATAATTAAAACACTATGTAATTGCTTTTATTTATTTATTTTATTTTATGTATTTATAAAACTAAAATTATTCCTTTTCACCCGAAACTTGCCAGCGCTTTCCTCCTACTAGTTTTCACTTACCTCTTATGCTGCCACCGGAAAATATAACAAAGTGACTAATAAAAAACACAATGTTGGGCAGCTGACAAATGTGATGCACAATCGTAATGGCTTCCCTCTAAAAATGTGAACTAGCACTGCCGCTGGGTATGATTGCTGACAGTACAGCCCAGAGTGCCCTTTGTAACCTTTTCGCTACTGGAATCTGTTTACATTATGTGACACAGAGTGGCAGCCCTACCACTTCCAAACGTCGCCGGAACTGAGTCAGCGCGTTTATACACCTCCACAGGCCCCCAGGAAAGGCACTGGGCCACTTGTAAACTCGGCTTCAGAAGTTAAAGGGTTAATGAGGGAATTGTGTGTATGGTCTTGCCTCGATCTCCCCCAAGTGGTTTAAAGTCCCCAAGAGGTGCCTGGGAGGACAAGATTCGTAGGGTCTATTGAAATGACATGTGGGCTCCAATGTCAAGTGAACCTGGCTGTGCTGAGGAAATCCAGAGGTAGAGCAGGCAGTGTGTTTTCTCTGAGTCAGAGACCGCCACAGGGCCTGGGGATGAGCAGTGGCCCAGCCTGGGACTCTCGCCCCCTGCAGGCAGGCTGGCCCTGCCCCAGGCTCTCCTCTGAGGGAGCAGGACTTGTATCTGAGAAGGGGGAAGAAGGGATCAGAAGTGTAAGATCACGTTCATCTTCTCACTAAGCTGTTTCTTCTCAAATGCGCAGAGTTCTGTAACTGCAGGTATGCAGGGAGAGGGTCTCCCAACAACTGCCCGCCCTGGGGTCTCCGTGGTAAGGGAGAGGAAGTGGGGCAGGGGAGAGGAAGGGAGCTTGCTAGTTATGCTGGGCGTTCAGCTCAGGTCAGTAACGGGAGCCATGACAATAGGCGTGCGCCATCTTTGTGTGGCGCTGGGAGGCTCTGGGGGATGTTGTCAAGCCCCTCCCTCTTGTTTCACCCATATCAGCAGTGGGGTTTCTGCCCGAGTGGCATCGGCCGGACTCTTCTCTCCTGCCTGCCTCTCCTAGGCAGACAACGATATCAACTTCTCAAAGCACGAATCATCAACAAAGGGCAGAAGGAACGGAACATTTCTGTCAGCTGCAGAATTCGGCAGGACACCTGGGCTGACATGGTGGCTCCATTGAGGTCAAGGAGATCCAGAATGGTGATTTCAACCTGAGCATCTCCTTTTATACATCCTCTCCATATACTGCGTGGTCTTGAACTAGGATCTGTACATTCAGGCTGAAACCTGTCATTCTGATGCCTCCCTCGCCTTGTGTGCGGACACCTGGAGGGTACCACCATAGCCCAAGGACTTCACCCTTCCACTTTACGATCTAATCCCGAGTGGGTTAGAAGCGTCTCAATGGAAGGAAGTTGGACCTTTATCGGATGGCTCAAGCATAAGTAAACCAAAAGGCTTGGGGACTGGGGCTTCTGGTGAAGCCCATTGTCCAGTAGCTCAAACTCAGCCAGGTCCTCCTCTCGCACACAGTCAGTAACACTCTGTGGCTTTTATCTCTTGAAGCTCATGAGTGCTACATCTTAGATTATATCCTAAATGAACAGAGACTCATCTCTGCGATCAAACTGGTTAAAAACTGGGGTTAGATCCACACAGCTTTCCACCAAACACGAGGGAGTGATTGGAGTTCAATCTTCAATCATGTGGGATCTAATCGTAGTTTTATAGGTACTCTTCAGGGGACCAGTAGAGAGACCTTCAAATCTCCAGACATGGTTTCCCCAGGTTTTAAACAGAGGTGCTAAGCAGAGATGTGTATGGAGAGTTGAAGTAAAATTGATGACCTTCACCTAATTCACAAAAGCCACAGACAGACCTCTTTTGTTTGCACTTCCTGTTGTTGTTGTACTTCCCAGATGCTGCCTTCTTACACATAGAAGGTTTCTGGTGATCCTGCCGTGAGCGAGGCGATTGATGCCAATTTCCCAAGATCACGTGCTCACTTTGTGCCGCCATGTCATTGCCAGTCCTTCTCACAATATTATCAGACGCTTTATAAACTACCCACCCACTGTCCTAGAGCCCGTCCGACTCATAGCAACCCCGTGGCACACAGTGGTGCTGCCCCACAGTGCTTCTGCACTTGTGAGCCTTTCTGGATACAGACTGTGCCCATTTCTCCCAGGGAGGAGCTGGTGGGGTTGAACCACACAACTTCAGTTGACCGCCCAATGCTTAACATACTTTACCACATGGTCCCTTTAACAGACCACAGTATAGTGTAATCCTAGCTTTCACTATACGGGGAGACCCAGACCTCTGACAAGCTTTATTTCCTATATCCACTTCACTCCAGTGGGCCAGAACCAAACCTGCACTATCTCCAGGTCAGCCTGCCGTGTGGGGTTTCCCATTGGGGAGGAGCTCTAGGGGAAGGGACAGCAGAAAAGGGGGGCCGGAGTGAAGGTGCAGATGGGGTGGTTGTCCTCACATCCCCCTGCCCTATTTCACTCACTTCCCTCAATGGCTTAGTCCTGGCTTCCTCTTACCAGGGCTGCTTATAATAATTTCCCATTTAGACTAAAATGCCCCAAGTCTCTCTCTGGCCATCAGCCTGGTTCTCCGTGATCACAGGCCTGACCCAGCTGACATGGCCCTCTGGGGTTTTCCTCTTGGGATCTCTTCTTTCTCTGGACACGCCAACCAGACAAGAGCTCCCACAGCTGCCACCGTAACACTGGGTCTTTCCCATCTCAAGCCATTGCTGAGCTCTGCTCTCTCCCCACTTTGGTAGTGGCTGGCGGGGAGGATCAGACTGGCTTCCAGGGACACTCTCCCAGCACTGCCACCTTTGTGTTTGTGGGAGTCTTCTTGGTCATGATCCCAGTCTTGGTGAATTTCGTGCTGGGGAAGAGGAACACCCCCCCCCCCCCCCAGTAGCTAACCTACCTTTGAAACCAGGAGAACCCAACACCAGAGCTCTCAGACACCAGCCTCCGTACACTCAGACGCTGGTTCCGGGAAGATGGAATTGAAGGTACCCAACAGCACAGGAATCAAATTAATCATAACTGAGGGAAGCAAAGACAGAGAAGCTAAAGATCAGCAGCCAGAACCAGGCCGGGGTTGACTGTGAGACACATTATCAATTGCTTATACGTCAGTTGAGGTTGAGGATGAAGAAAACGAAACTAAGTTCATGGGAGCCCAAAACATGACCTTGAGTATATGCCATATGAACTTAGAGAACATCGCAAGACTAGAATTGAGTCTTGGGACACTAACAACAGAATACCTGATGAGATGATGACATGAGAGCATCAGACATGAAGAAAACAAAAGGACACTAAGAAGACAGGAAAGAAAAGAGCGAGGTGGATGCAGAAGAGACTCTAGAACTTGCTCTTAGCAGAGTGCAGCTAACGCAGAGGGAAGAGATGATGAAGTCAAAGGATGAACAGAAAATGTCAAAGGGCAGCTCAAGAAGACAAAGCAACGTGTAATAGTGAAATGTGCAAATGCCTGGAGTTAGCAAGTCCAAAAAGAATACACACAGCATATTTCAAGGTGAAAGAACTGAAGAAAAAGGCAAGCTTCAAGTTGCAGTATTGAAAGATTCTATGGGCAAAATATTGAACTACCCAGGAAGCATCAAAAGGAGATGGAAGGAATACACAGAGTCACTTTACCAAAAGAACTGGTCAGCATTCAACCATTTGACAAGGTAGGATATAATCGTGAATCAATAATACTAAGAACAACGTCCAAGCTCCGTTGAAGGATTAGCCAGAAACAAGACTGTAGGATTTGACAGAATACCAAATCTGTAGCAAAAGGCCTCTTTTCAGCGGTCAAGAGCAAGGCTGTCACTTGGAGATGTGCCTGGACCCTGTGATGGTATTTTCAATCACCCATGGGTGTGTGAAAGTTGGACATTGACCAATGAAGACCGAAAAATAATTGATGCATTTGAATTATGATCCAGGCGAAGACTATGGAAAACACCACACGCTGCTAGAAGAACAATGAGCTCTGTCTTGGAAGAAGTGAGGGTGGTGCACCTACTTCTCACATTCTTTGGACATGTTACCAGTCCTTGGAGAAGGACATCATTCTCCAAGAGATGGATGGACACCGTGGCTGCAACAATGGGCTCAAACATAACCACAGTGGTGAGGCTGGCCCAGGACTGGACAATGTTCCCTTCTGCTCTGCATAGGTTGCCTTTGAGGCCCCACCTAGCATCTAATAACTAACAGCAGCACCTTCCTCTGTCTGTCTGGAGTACACACATTATGGGATCAGCTGGGGTGGAGGGGAGGAAGGCGGGCAGCCTAGCTGTCCCAAGACCCACAGGCCAAGCCCTGGGACCAAGTGTGTCCACTACTCCAGACATTCATGCAACCATGAGTCAAACATGGTTGGCACCAGAGCGTTTTCCAGATGGAATTTCTCATCTGACCTTCTATAAATGCGTGATTAGGCCTGCAGAACAAATCTGAGCTTTGCATTAGGGTAGAGGACACTGAATCCAGAAGGTTTTTACAAACGAGTTTGGAGTTCGGGGGTGAGTGTATCACAGAGGCTCATCACGGCATTCGATCACTTCCAATTAAGCACACGAGTAGACAGGTAGGGTGTGCTGTCAGAAGGAATGCCCTGTGGCTTCCAGAACCTTCCAGGGAACAGAGAGATCATTCTCCCAGAGCCCTTGGAAAGTTTTCACCCAGCTAAAGAGGGAAGTGCAAGATGAAAGTGGGGGAGAGGCAGGAGTACGGCCGTGTCAATGGTGTCCATGCCGGAGCTTCCCAGTGGCAGAAGCCGACCTCCATGTGTCCGGGAACCTGTGTCCTCTGGCTTTGGGTGTTATGTCCAGACGTGTCTTGGGAAAGAACAGCCTTCATAGGGACCTGGGATCTATGTATCTCAGACGGGACCTCTGGGATTCTGTGTGCATGTGGCCTCCAGGAAGAATGGATTGACAAGTAAGACCCGAGAGCTCGAGAGGAACAAAGGGGTGGGGTGGGATGCAAGGAGACAGTGAGTTTCCTGGGAGGTGGGACAGAAGGCAGATTCTGGGGGCTTGGGTCACGTACAGTAGAAGGAGGAGAGCTCCGGCAAACGGTGCTGGCAATGCCAACTCTTGCCCCCTGAGCTAGTCTGAGAGCAAGAGGGGTTGCTAAGATGAGCAGGCAAGACCTTGGTGGATCAGGAAACTGGGGAACCCCACAGATGAAGGCTCAGAGAATCGTTCCCGCAGAGAGGCATCCTAGGGCTGTGGGTGAGCCTTGGATCGCCAGAGTCAGAGAAGCTCAGGGTCCCAAGGGCTCAAGATTTCAGACTTCCCATGATCCCTGCTGTCCCGCCTGTCCTCACAGCTGCCCCTGTCCCCCCCTCTAGACCAAGCCTCCAGGGTCCCCTGGGACCGACTGAGAGGGATCCAATGCATTGGACTGCAAGCACCAGACCGAGGCCGGAGAGGTCTAAGCGGATGGGGAGGGGCCGAGTCTCTGGTGCTGGCATGGAAGATTTGAAACAGTCACCAAGGGGAGACAATGGCCAGGCAGGGAGCCGAGACCTGCCCCGGGAGCAGAGTCAGGTAACCGGCAAGTGACCCTGAGTCCATGCATTAGCTGGCTCAATTGTTGTTCACGACGTCCTTCATTCGGAGTAGAAGGCCGCACGGGGATTCCAAGGCGGTAAATCCTTATGGAATAATCCCATCGCCTTATCTTTCTCCCACAGAGCAGTGGGCGGGTTCACACCAGGGACCTGTAGGTTAGCAGCAAGCACTTAACCACTGTGCCCTGGGGCTCCTTGATCTAATGTCATGGGTTGCATTGCAAAATAGAGACGAATGGTGGAGCGTCTGCAAAAGGGTCTTGGTGGATTTGTCCCTGTCCTGGTGAACTGTGAGCACAGGTGTGTCAGGGAAATGAGAGAGCAGGCGCCATGGGGGATGGAGCCTCGATCGGTAGCATGATTTTTGTGATGGAAACACTCCCATTAAGGCCAATGGAAGGCTGTCACACGATGCCTCTAAGTGTGGAGCAGGGAGGAGAGGCACAATCGCAGCCCACTGCGGAATATACCCACCGGATGCCTGAGATGACATTGACCTCTGACAAGGGTAGGAGTGAAATGCAGTCAGCCTGAGGAAGGCAGGCATTTGGCATTTTCCCGACACTCTCTCTTAATATAACTTATGGGAGTGCACGTTTCCACCATTGAGCTCTTTAGAGCGGCCATGGGGAACAGCAGGCCTGCAACATTGCTGAGTGGGATATCCCAGGGAGCTGAGTGGGAGGGTGGATTTGCTGGCTGCCCTTCCCTCTGCTGTCACCAGATCCCAGGTGACCTGTAGGTTGAGAGCCCACATGGGGCTGCCTAGATTGTGCTGCCATGTGTGCCCTTTGGTTGTGTTTGTTTCACAACTTCAAGGTTGGCGGCAACCTTCTCTTAGCACCATTTCTCCACCCGCACAAGCTCACTTCCTGTCTCCGTGTCACGGTTGGTCATTCTCACAACAGTGCAAAGGTTCCTTCATCATTCTACTGCAGCTTCATAGACCCGAGTCTCAGCATGACTGTCACACGCAGTGGACAAGGACAGTGTTCACGTGGCTCACATGGTGGGGTAGCTGCTTTATTACAGTTATCTGGGCGCCAGGTGCCCATATGGCCCAAGGGGAGGAGATGTTGAATCAAACCACTGGGGGTTTCAGCTGGGCTCACAAAAGCGCACTGGGGATCTCTGGAGTCAGCACCCCAAGTCCCTGCTCTCTGCGAGATTCTATGCTGGACGACGCTTCAGGGTCCTTGATCCAGTGACAGGACAGGAAGGCAGAGAGAATTTGGAGTGATCTAAAAGAAACAAAAAATCATGCAATAAACCATTATCCCCCAGGGCCTTGTTGCATTGCCCAAAGAATCGCCCTGTCTTCCAAGAAGATCTTCAGTAAACATGGGAGATGCTTGGCTTTGTTCTCTGTCTCGAGCTCTCATCAAATGCAGCTGAGAAGGTGCAACCCCTCTTTCACCCCCCTGATGTCAAAGAAAAGAAAGTGGGCAAAGAGACCTTGCACACCTTTCGATGAATGTGGAGGGAGATCAGGAGGAGAGGAGCAGGATTCTAGATTCCGACAAGGCTGGGGGAGTTGGACTCATAACGGGAGTCTCAAACATGAGTCTTTTGATGATATTCATGTAGGCATGTTCTCCCCAATCAGGAGTCAAAGAATCGGTAATGTGACTGATTTCCTAAGGACAAAAGCACTGTTCCCTCTCAGTCACTTATCTTTCAAGGGGCAGGAGTCCACGTGGGGTCTTTGGCGGGGAAACTCTGAACCTCTCATTTTGCTGAAAGGGTGTGTGTTAGATGAGGGCACGCGCTCCTCGTTGATGGCGTTCAGGCCCCCAAATGTATGCAACACACAGGTTGCTTTGCTTAGCTTGGTAGGAACTTCTAGTCAGGCTAGTTTTGCTCTGTCTGGTAGACTCCAGAGAGACAAAAGACTAAAGCATTTGATAAAACTCCGCCGCTTCTTTATAAATGTAGGTCCTGTGAGAAGCAGTGGCCAAAACTCAGAAATCTGAATTTTTTTCAGAGACTCCTTTCCAAGTGTTAGGCAGAGGACTTGCTCTGTCACTCACAGCCCCCACTACCTGTCCCCTTAGGAGGGAGTATAGCTTCACAGTGACCTCTCTGAGCTGTCCCGACAGATGGTGCAGCATGGCCCCCACCCCTAACAATGAGAGACAATTTGCAACAGACAGAGACTCAGAACATTCTGTCACGTTGCCTCTCGTTCCAGGGGTCACCTGGATAACCTAGTGGGAGTCCTGGCCCTATGGCAGGTCGGAAGAGGCCAGGAGGCTGGAAACACAGAGTCCACATCAACCCTTGTATGCTGTGTTTGCCTTTGCTCTGGAATCTATGGAAATATGGTTCCCATGTTAACAGTCTATGCAGACTGCTCAGACATAGGCATAAGGTAACATCTTGCTGCATTGCACATCAAATGATTCATTCATCCACTCCTTACCCCAGACATAGTTTAAGCCCTGAAGATAGAGATCCATTCTAAGAGAAGTAATCAAAGAAAGAAACCCGTGCAATATTCTGCTTGGTGCTCAACGTAGAGACTTGTGTGGGCCACCAGAGGGAGCCAGAAGGAGAATGCGGTCTGTCCACTGGAGGAGGCGTCGGGAAGACTAGGAAAGGCAGCCCGGGGAATGGAGCTTCCTGAGCGGTGAGGAGAGGGGCTGGTATGGGTAGGACACGTTCCAGGCCGAGGTGAATTTGTCAGCAAAGGCATGGCAGCTGTGTCTCCAGAAAACGCAGCTTGCTGTGACTCAAGCACACAGGAAGGGTGCTGCGGGCACAAGTCACCCCCAGGACAGAGACGGAGGATGCTGGTCACGGAGGGATTTTGAAAGCCACACAGCAAAGTACAATGTCCTGCAGGAGGCATGCAGCCGCTGCTGGGTGTTCATTAAGAATAAAAGTGTCGCCTGTTTCAGATGTACCAGGTGGCAGGTGGCAGCTACATTGTAAGAATGGAAGATGTCCCCTGTCCTAGAAAACTACAGCCACACCCATCAAGCAGACTCCGAACATTCACTTTCAGGACAGGAAAAGCTCAAAGGACCTTCCAAGGTTGCTACAACTGGATGGCCCAGACAAAAGTCGTTCAGGGCCCAAGATAGCTGGTGAACTGGCCAAAAGGTTTGTGCATTTATCAAGGACTAAAGCCCTAATATTAAGGGGATAGTAAGTCTCGCCAAAGCAGCTCCGGGCCCAGGAGGGCTTTACTACTTCTTCCATCCACATCATTGTGGCTGCACCTTGCCAGTTAGAAAATCCAGAAAGGTTCACACTAGGGTTTGTTTTCTCTCCCTAAAATGCCTGTGAGTTTGAGCAGTCTTGCAAGTGTCTAAACAAACAGCCCGGCAGAAGCAAATAAAAAAAGAAAAAGGAGTGTGTGTGTGTGTGTGTGTGTGTGTGTGTTATAGGCCCGGCTGGCATGTTCATCTGTACTGTGTGGTAGGCTTTATTTGTGTTTGGCTCAGGGAGCCTCCCTGAACTATGTCCACCCACCCATCTCTTGTCAACACTTGGAGATGACAGAAAATAGAGTTGGGCACCTACAGGTGGAGGGCCATCGGGATGTGGTGAGTTTATATATTTATATACATGTATATATACACAGTCTATCTATTATACATACAACCTTTGTCATTGCTGTGGTTGGGTGGCCTTGCTCTCGGAGTTCCAACTCATAGCATCCCTATGTCCCATAGAATGAAAATCCACACTCTCCTCACTATTCCTATGTTCCAGCCCACTGTTGTAGCCACCGTGTCAATGCAAGTAGCTAATATATCATGTGTGTGTGTTTGTGTGTGCGCCTACATTAGAAAATTCAAAAGGGCTTACAGTAATGTGCAATACAGAAAACATTATGTTTCCTTAGGGGTATATGCCCGTCACCTGGAGGAAAGCTAGCCTGTAGCAAATAGAGATAATTCGAGGTCAATCATCTCCAAAAGTCCGGGTAGGTAGAAATGAAGAGGGTCGGCTCTAAAAATACTGTCTCTCCCTCAGTAGGGGTAATGGAGCGCAGCTTCAATGCAACTTTATTTCAACAGTCACACCAAGAGGTACAGGCCCCTTGTGTTAGGAAGGGACCATCCGAAGACTAACTTGCAACTTACCTTCTAAAATACCATGGTAAGATGCTTCAAAGAGCGTAGTGAAGAAGTTCCGCGAGCCATTGTACAATATGTTCACGGAGTTGGAAGGAATTCTGAAGGTGGTAGAGTCTAGTTCACAAATGTACCCAAACATATTGGAGTTAAAGATGAGCAAAGTTTCAGTCTCACAGTTGAGTCTACAATCAAAGATAAGGCAGATTTGGGTTATAGGCAACTGTTCCCCACCAGGAGTCTCCCTCTGGCATGGATGGGAAGCTCCCTTCCGCTGCTCCCCAGGGAAAAGGGAAAGGCTAGTTGAGGATGAAGGCGGGAGAATCTATTGGTTTTGAACAGAACACAGTCACCTGAGAACCATTGAAGCCACACAAAAGGCATCCTCATGCAACTGGAACCCTGGTGATGACTTAGTGTCCCCTGATGCCAAGCCCATGATTCTGGGACTTGGGGAGAGGAATTGTGTTCTCAGGGACATGGTTGGGTTTCCAGTCCCTACTTCCCGGGAAGAACAACCAATGCCATGGGTGGTTGCTTTGGGCCTCCTTGTGTCGGGGTCAAAAGCTGTAAAGTGACAGGGGGGTTTCTGCCCCCTCATATCCCAGGTGGGGCAGCAAGCTGGGAAACACAGTCCAGCAGTTCCACCTGCCCTCTCTGACTCAGGTGAGTAGAGACAGCGTCCAACTCTTTGTAGTGTGGAGATAACTTACGTAGGAAATATCACCCCTGGGTCCATGTCCCCACCGCTCTGTCTTCCATCTAACCTCATGACACGGTCTGCACACCCTCAGCCTTGTGCGTTCACTAAAACTCCTTGTGCTCACAGAAGAGGAAGAATGGCTCTAAGGGATTAAGAAGTCAATGGGTGTGAACATCATACCAGGACACATATAGGAGCCCCCTTTATACCATTTTTTTTTAGCTATGGACCACCTCCAAGTTATTTCTTGATGCTGAGGTCAATTGGATCAAAAATGAGTCTGCATTATGGACAAAGGGCCTTGTAGAGAAATCTTAGAAAGACTTCATCCTGCCAACAGCCAGAGAAAGGGGGATCCAGGAAATGCCATCTCTTTCAACATCTCTTTCATCTCTGGCCCTCTCTTGTCTACATCTCCCCTGTGGCCCAAACATAATCTTCTTATCCATGAGCTTTTAAAACTAAGATTTATAATCCATGGGGAAATATTTGGTACAAATCCTAATTATCTCTAAGGTGTCCTTTGCCCCAAAGACCAACTGAGTAATGTGGTCTGGGCTGCAGTCCTGGAGCAAATCAGGAGGAGACAGAGGCCTTAGTCAGGCAAATGGAATAACTTGACTCATTCATCACTGTGAGAAGTTCTTGATTTGGGTATGGCCTTGATGCAAACAACGTTCCTAATGAAAAGTTTTGAACACTCTTTCTGAAATAGAATTGCTGTATGTCATGGCTGCCTTAGAAATGTGTTCTGTGTTATCATTCATCCAGATTGGAAGAGACAGCGGATGGAGTACATGCAAACGAATGCTTGACATTCCACATACGGCTTTCCATGAGACAACAGACGGTGCAGAAAGGAGTGAAAAATCAAAGAGGATGTCTTGGTGGCTGCCTTCCCTCTCAAAGTGCATCCTGAAATGTGGGCAGAGGGCAGAGTCAGAGGTCCTGATGTGGGTGGGATGCACGCCAGGCCCAGCATATGGTGTCGGCGCAGGAGTGGGATGACTCCCGTCTGTGTGTCCAGACCATGATGGCACCTCAGAGCAGTGAAGAGTCCTTCAAAGGGAGCAGACCCCAAAACATGATAGTGAAGGATTTTGAAAAGGAGATAAAACTTTAACCCCAAGTTAGTGAATCATAGAAAGGTTTATCACAGCAAGGGAGAAGATGTTGAATTGTGTTTTCAAATATTTGGGAGTGTGGTGAGGGGAGAGTGGGGATTAGATGGTAGACTGGAAGATGTAAAGATACCGTACTTCCTAGAAAACAGGAACCGTACCAATAGCCACAGCTTGCATCCTGCATACTCACCGGAGCTCAGGAAAAGTCATCAAGATTTTCAGAGGTGGGGCCAACCGGATGGTCCACATGCATTCATGGTTGAACGCATTAGAGGTGGTTATCTTCCCAGAAGGCTTTGTGAGCAGGCCTCCACACCCAAGGGCTACAAACAGAAGAAGAAGAAGTTAAGGAGCTCTGGGACAGCCGCCGGCCACTGAGAGATTGGCTGTTCCCGGGACTCCTGTATTGTTGATACTCCTGACCCTCCATCTTCCCAAATGCAAGGTACCAGCAAGGATCAAGTCTGGTAAGCCAGAAACAAAAAGAACCTTCTTGTTTCACCCTTCTTGGGGAGTTTTATGAAGCCCACACCCATCTGTTGTATCATTTACTTTCTACTAGTCGAAAAGACAAGCAATTTTCATTTCAACTAAATTGTCTTCATCATCAACTACATTGAAATGTGGATGAGCAGCAAACCACACATTCATCTTGGTTGTGCCCCTTGAAGATGCTCCTCAATGCCAGCTCAGAGAAATCGCAACGGATCCAGTTCTTCTGCCCTGGGATCAGTCTCATGGCTCAAAGGAGGCCTCAACAAGCCCAGGCACTCCAAGAGGTTCAAGCTGCTCTTTGGAAACACAAGTTGGTTTTCCTGCTGATCAAGCTGAGAATACCTGATGCTATAGGGGTGGTGTCCGTGGGTGGGTGGCAGTGGGGTGTAACATCAAAACAACCTCGAGAGGGTTGGCCGTGGAGGTGAGGTGGGACATGGCTAAGACTGAACATAGACGGCAAAGTTCAGATGCCACTTTCTTTGGGACCAAAATGGCTCCCGAGTATAGGACCTTCCTGCTGGGTCTTTCCATGCCAACCGAACAGCCTAGATTCTCTATTCGAGGAGAGGGAAAGAGTAAAATCATACTGCACACCTTTCTCTTGCCGCTGTTGGCTTGTTTACCACTAAAACCATGTGTCAAGGAAACAAAGGTAAGAGATAATGTTCATGGGGAGTTTGAGAGCAAAGGACAAGTGCTTGAGCAGGAACAAGAGAGGGGGCAAGCTCTCTTGATCCCTGGGGACAATCTCGGCTACTGAGGGAGGAGACCGTGTAGATGATCACGAACAGTGGTAGCAATGTGAAGAGCAGGAATTCCAGAACGCTTCCTTGTGTTCGTGTGAAACCTGTGTATGGACAGCCAAAGAGCAGGGGTCTACTGAGTCATTTGGAAGCACTAAAGGTGTGTTGGGGCGATACCCTTTCAGTAGATGCATTCACCCAATGTGGTAAGCAGAGAACACAAGAGGTTGAAGAATGCAGCATCAGAAGGGGAGGAGGACTTATTGACCATGGACTTTGAGTCCATTCCAATTCCTAGTGGCCATAACCTTGAGTGATTCTGACCCAGAGGAGCTCTCAAGGACAGAGTAGCACTGGCCACAGGGTTCTTCGAGTCTGTAATCTTCACGAAAGAGTATATCCACGTCTTTATTCCAAGAAGAACTAACTACTCCCCTTGTTTTCAGCAGTCCAGCACTTAAGTCACTGCATCACAGGGATTGCTTCGGCCACAACCAAGGATGAGTAAGTTGATGTGGGGGTGGAGGTGGTGGAGGTGAAGGAGGTGGTGGAGGTGGAGGTGGAGGTTCCAGGGGCACTCTGAGTATGGTGGGAGAGGAAGTGAGAAGGTACACATATGCAAGCTTGGTTCCTCTTTCCTTCTGAGCAGCAGACATGGGCTGAGCACTCAGATAGATGCCAGAAGCCAGAGGGGCACCCATATGAGGCGCTCATGTGGAATGAGACACTTGGAGCCTCAATGTTCCAGAGATTCGGTTGTACAAATGTTTATCTTTGATGTCAATGGTGTCTTCTTCCCTATTTCTGGGCAGAACATATATTCTGGACTCCTTGCCTCACACAGCTATAGAATCCCAGGGAGAATTTGCCTGTCACTGAGATGGCCCGAGGTCAGAGATCAAAGCTGAGAAGCAGACAATGACCTCCATATGGTAGCCAAGAGGAGCAGGAAAAGGAGTCTGGTGTTGAACCCAGGATAGTGGGTTGAAGTTGAGCCCTGGCGTGGTCATGCCTAGTCCCTGTACTGGAGCCCCAGTGGAGTGGTGGTCACACTTTGCACTGCCACCACAAGGAGCAGGAGTTCCAAACCAACACCCTCTCCTTGGGAGAAAGACGGGGCTTTGTACGCCCGTAAGCCATTACAGTCTCGGAAACTCAGGAGGACTTCTCCCTCGTTCTGTAGGGTTTCCGTAAGTCAGCATGGACCAGATGGCAGTAAGCATGGCTTTTACTGAGTACATGGCCTAGGACAAAACTTTCCAAAGACCTTGTTCTTTGATGCCAACAGTCCAGATGACCATGAGTTCTCTGTGTGAAGAAAGAGCCAGATGGGCAAGAGATGGATGCAGAGAAAGACTGTGGGGAAGGATGCTGCTCCAGCCGGTGGCTACCCGCTTATTTAGAACCTGAAGTTGGGAGCCAGCAGCCCAGCCTGACCAGAAGTCATTCTGGGTAGATGAGGATCTAGCATCTGAGCAAGGCCACTCAAGGCACTGAGCAAGGACAACAGGAGCCCCTGGAGATAGAAGGGCAGCCTCCCCCTTGGAGCTCCCGGGAGACTTCAAGAACCTACCTTGAAATCCCCCCCAATCTCAGGTGTACAGTCTGGGGAAGAGAGGCTGGTTCTGGCCAGAGGACTTCAGAAGGTTCCCTCTTGGCAGTTGAACACACCCATTTCTTCTCCCCTCTACACCTCTTTGTATAGTGGTAATGAGCCCAAGATATCCCATGAGACAAAACATTACCTCCGGTCGAATATGCTGGTGCAGTCAGGGGTTCCTCTGTGGGGACCAGAATATCTACAAAGTGGAAAATAGAAGTAGTCACTCAATGGTGGTCTTCATGTTAAGATGAATGGAAAACGAGAGAACACTGGGCGAGCTATCAGGGGACAGTGTCTAGGCTACTTGGAAGACGCATGGGCCTGTTGCGGATCTTCTGCTTGCTCCGCTTTGAAATGAAGAGCTGGATGCAGAGATACGACAGGCCCTCTGTCCCTAAAAGTCCATGTTATCTTCATGAAAGTAAAACCCTTTCTTGAATCCTACAGCTTGATACGCATGGCATGCGGGTTGGGTCCCACTTTTGTGCTCAAACTGCATCCTGGTCGCGTTTGAAGCCACCAAATCTAGTTCCTAGGTTTCTTCAGCCTGAACCTAAGAATATGGAATGCTGTGACTTATAAAGACAGTGTGATGCTTCTATTTCTGCTGTGGGTGAAGCTGTGCTCACTGCTGACTCTGTAAGGGACAGCAAGGGGAGAGAGCGTAAAAGAAAATATCATAGACACCTGCACCTAGTGACAAGAGCAGGGTTGCTCCTGGGCATGGCCGAGGCTCCTGACGGCAGGAGAAAGCAGCTGTGTGGGCTGTGGAGCGGCTGGGGGGCTTCAACAGCTGATTTTCTGGTCAGCAGCCCAATTCACAACCCACTCGACCACCGGGGCTCCATTAAGATGATACTGGTGTGAAATCTGTGATTTCCAAACTTCTCAAGGGAGGTCTCAACAGAACGGGTCCAGTGAAGCTCTGTCCACAGTCCTCTGTTGCAGTCCAGTTGAGACCACCCCCTGACCCCTCACCCCCATCATTGACGTGGCCAGGTGGGCCACGCTTGTCAGTGCTCACCTACTGTTCCTAACACACAGCTACACACTGCAGTAAATAAGGACATCATCTGGAAAAGAGGGACGCAGGCCGGTCTTTCAACGGGGACTGCAATCGTAGGGGACATGTACGGCAGTCTCCCCAAGCTCATTTCTGACACACCCTCCCGGCTCCCACAGTTAAGCGCAAGAGGACAGACCTGCTTACATGATCATGCCACTCGAATCCAGTCCAGAGGAGACACCCAATTCCCATTCACATGACCCAGGCCACTAGCTTAGTAGCATGGTGCTCAATACCAGGATCAAGATCTAATTAATAAACTCCGAACTTCAGTCTTGACAACCGTGCTCGTCATCGGCACTGGACAATCCCACATTATCGCACAACTATGATGACTGAGGAAGGGACCGTCAGAAGAACCCGCCCCTTCCCTCCACTCACCAGCTGAATAAGTATGGTAACAGCCTTCGAACGAAGCTGGTTTAGCCTCACCACCCGTGTCATACACCAAGGTCAAGTGGTTGGAAGAAGATACATGGGTTAAATTCCCGTCATGACAAGAACGCGAATAATAAAAGGGTCCATCAAGCAGCGTCACTTCACCTTGAGAACACTTCATTCTGTTTCATCAGGCAAAAGACAGTTGGGGTTATTGAAAATGCCTTCCCTCTGGAAATCCCCTCCAGCACTCAATGGAAGCCCCATTTCATCTATCCTCGAATTAAAACTGAAAGGCCAGTTAAGGAAAAGGGAAAGACTGTCTATTGGTTCTGAGCAGATGTCAGTCAACCCAGACCTAAGACAAGTCCCTTGAACTGAGATGCCGTTGACATTCCAGTGTCCCATGATGCCTATCCTAGGGCTCTGGGATCAAGGATAGGAGGGTTGCTTGCAGGCACCTGGCTGAGTTTCAGGTTTCAACCTTGAGAGAATCGCCCATGCAGTGTTGTGTTGCTTTAAGGTAAAAGCATCTGATGTGACTCAGTCTATTTCTGTGCACTCAACTCCCAGGGGCTGCAGGTCATGGACATCCTGGCCCAGCAGTCACACCTGCCCTCTCCGGCTCATGGTGAGGAATGACAGCATCCATATTCCTCTAGTGTAGATGCTACAGGTGAGAAGCCTTCGCTCCTGGGGAGGTCACAGTGCTCTCTGTCTTCCATCTACTCCTCACTACATGACCTTCCCACTCCTCATTCGTTTGTCCTCGCCATAACTCCTGTGCCCCAGCAGAAGCAGAAGCTTTGAGGGTTTACCGAGACCACATGTGTGAACCTCAGAGCATCACGTTGTGGCCTTTTGCTATTGGTCCAGCTCCAACTTATTACTTGATTCCCAGGACAATCAGATACACAGTGAATCTATTAACAGACAAAGGGCCATGTACGGAAACCCCAAAAAGAGTTCATCCTGACCACAGCTAGAGAAACGGGGATGTAGGAAATGCCCATCTCATTCATCCCTGGACTTCTCTATCTGCATCTCTCCTGTGGCCCAAACATGGTCTTGACCAAGAGTTTTTAAAAACTAAGATTTATAATACTTGGTAAAAGATTTGGCGCAAAATCAAATGTTGACACAATTGTATGTAAGGTGCCCCCTCCCACAAAGACCAGCTGAGCAATGAAGTCTCAGTTCTTGCCCTAGAAGAGATGAGGAGTAGCAGAGGCCTTAGGCAGACTAATTGCATCAAATGACCAATCAATCCTTCATTGTGATTGGTTCTTGACTTTAGTGTGCAGTTGAGGCACATGAAGCTCCCATCTTAAAAGTGTGACCCCTGTCCCTGAAATGGAACTGCACAGTGTTTCTGCATAGTGGCTGCAACAAGGGATTCAATAACATCACGCAAGAACCATTGTGAGGATGGCGCGGGACCAGGCTGTGTTTCCTCCTGTTGCACATGGGTCACTCTGAGTCAGAGAACCGGACAGCACCTAACAACAACAATAACAACAACAACAACAACAGCAGCAGCAGCAGCATTGCTGTATTAGAAATTGCTTCTGTGCTATTATCATTACATTCATTCGCTCCTTCAAAATCTAGACTTCAAACTTCAACATTAGCCATCTCATATGAGGAGGGAGAAAGGAATAGGGTATCCAAGAGGCCATAAGGTTTCCATGGGATAATGCATGGTGAACAATCAGGGAGGAAGTCAAGGGGACATTGTGGCTGCCTTGGGGCTCATAGTCAATTGTGAAATGTGAGTAGCTGTCCCCAAGCACAGGGCAGAGAGCAGAGGTGCTGCTGTGGGTAGGACACACTCCTGGCTCCACAGAGGGTGTCAGCACATGAGGGAGTGACTCCAGCCTCGTGGACCCAGCAAACAAAGTCAGATCTGGATCAAGTACATACGCTGCCTGCCTAGAGAAAGTGATTGCAGGGAGAAGCCTGCTGAGGAAGGATTGAGAACATGAGAGGGTCTCCACCGAGGAGGCAGCTCAGCCTGGAAAGCTTGCTCACAGCAAGTGAGAACCTTGTTGCATGTTGTGTCAGATGACTCGGCCATTGGAGTGGAGTTGGGACTGGGGCTGTAGGATAAGCTGGAAGAGGCACACATCCCCTCCTTCCTAGAACACCGCAGCCACTTCCAAAGGATAAACATGCATTACGAGCACTCACCTGAGCCGGGGAACTACCAGAACAATTCTATGAGATGGATCTGCCTCGATTGTCCAGGAACACCGGCTTCTGGGCATGCCTTTGAAGGTTAGCTTCCCTGAAGGTTGGGTAATGACATGGCGACACTTAGGATTCACTACAACCAGGAGGAGGGAAAATTTAGAGACGCTGGCAAGTCCAGTCCATGCGCATGTTGCTCTTCTCAGGGCTCCTGTGCTTGTGGTCCATCCTCATCCTCCATCCCCCCAAAATGAAAGGAACCATGAGCACCGAAGTCTGAGCATGTTTGGGTTTTGCTCTTTGAAGAACAGATGTGAAGCCCTCAGACATCTGTAGTTGCATGTCCTGTTTCAACCGGTCAGAAAGAGAGGCAACTTACAGAAAACATTATCAAGGACATAGGGTCACTGAGAAGCCCACTCATCAAACATCTCTTTGTGTCTCTTGAAAGATGCTCCCCTGTGTGAGAACAGAGACCTAGAATAGAGGCCAGTTCTCCTGCCCGAGGATGGACCTAGCTCATCAGACACAGGAGGCACCTATTCAATAAAACACCTGCCAGGCGGCTTCTACAATGACTCACACTGGTGCTTCCGTCTCCAAAAGTGTTCAATCAAGATGAAAACAGTAACATCACCCTCTGAAGTGCTATGAGGGCCCATGAGTTCACATTTCTAAAGTGCTTGGCCCACAACTTGCGCTCTATAAACACTAGGAAAATACATGATTCCCAAGGCTCCCGCATCCTGAGGAACCCTTTCACCCCTACCTGTCCTCCTTCCTCTTCTTCTTTACAGCTTTCAGGTCCTTCCTCCAAGCATAATGAAGATTCTCAGCCTCCTATAATCCCAGACACTCCCAAGAGGCTCAACCAGCTCTTTGGAAAAGCAATTTGCTCTCCCTGCTGAGTTAGACTATGCAGACTTGGTCTAGAGATGGCCCCCTCATGGCTGTGGGTATGCTGTCAGTAGGGGTGGGGGTCAAGGGATGGTGTACCACAGGGGTAAGCCCTGAGAAGCTGGTCCACGCAGGTGATATAGGACCTTGTAAGGACAGCATCAATGGCAACATCTAGATGTCATTTGAGGTAAAAGTCTACCAGGTACATGAACTGCCAGGGGACCCATTTGATACCTGTGGGAAAGCCAATATATTCCGTGTGCGGGAAAGGAGAGGGTGTAATACCTCTGTTATGTTCACGTTGTGCAGTTGTTGGGCTGATTGCGGCTAAAAGGACACCTGAATGGAGAAGTCAAATGGAGAGCTGTCAGTGACTCCTTTGTGAGAGAAACAGAGATGGCAGAGGAGGGTCTTGTTAATGGGGAACTCGGAAGCAAAGGAAAGATGCTGGAGCATGGAGAGGCGACAAGAATATCTCTCCTCCCTGGGGTGATCGCTGCCACAAAGGGAAGGCAGAGAAGGGCTCACACATAAACAAACTAACCCATTCACCCACTTTCTGCTTCTTGCCTGACTCCACTCAATTAATATGCAAGGTTCCCCCGGAGTCAAAGACGGAGACACTAGTCAAAGCTCTAACCAGGTGACCACTTTGTTGACTTGCCTACGTTGCACTCTGTGTCATCTCTGAGTCTCACTTCTGCTGCCCCTCATTTGTGAGCAAACCAGGCAGTTCACTACCCTAACTTTGACCCAAACAGTTTTCCTGGTCAATTCTAGAACAAGGCTGATTATGAATTTTTGAGTAAAGCAATTCAATGCAGTGTCCAACACGGGAGAAATTATCCATCTTAACGTACAGAGCATTATCATTTCAGGAGTAGGTATGAAAGGCAAACACATAGTGTCCTATGGTTGAGGGGACACTCTGGCCTGTCCTTGTCAGGAGACATGTAGTGGGAAGGCATCACCTGTCGTCGGATCCTGGTATGCATTCCTGATCGGCATTTTATCACTTCCTGACTTTGGGAAAGCGAATCACTCTTCTTCATCCTCGACTGAAAATCAGGACGAAACAATCCCATGGGGTGAAAGGTGATGATCCACACAAACCCTAAGTCATGGTTTCAGTGAGTGATGCCGACACCAGTGGTACCTCTTACTCCTGACAGTTTTAATCATATTTACTTCATTTCCCAAGTTTGAAGTTCAAAATTAAAATAGTGCTGTAGGAGCTGATTCGTAGCGCAAGCTCAACCTGGGCTAAGGGTACACCGAGCTCTTGGCTCTGGCCACTTAGGTGCCAATGGAGTGTGTGGGTACCAAGGGAAGATGCACTAAGTGGGGAGAATCCCTCAGTGCTGCCCTGGGAGGTGGAAATCAGAGCCTTTCAGAAACCTGGTCTCCGAGCAGAGCCCCAGGGATCCGAGCAACACCAGGAGAATGCCGTGCTCTGGACCCACACCAGCGGGAAGTGAGTCCTCCAGGCCAGCTTCACTGGTTTGACTGCTCTGATGTCGCCTTTTCTGCCCCCACTTTAAGCTTAGAGAAGAAGCTGCTTCTCAACATTAAATAACTAGGCAACCTTTGGGCCACACTATCTAGAATCACCAGAGGTCACTGACTTGAGCTATGTCACCTCTCAGTCTACATCCATCACCTTCAGAACGTTCCACATTATTCCATGCTCCGGTCACTCTCGTGACAACCCAGGTGTCCTCCTCCTTCTTTCAAGAGGCACAAAAGACTCTCAGCCATCAAGTAGATGCTGCCTGGGAGTGACCCTATAGGGCATGGTAGGACTGCCCTGTGGGCTTCAGAGACTGTAACTCTTTGTGACAGCAGAAAGCCTCATCTTCCTCCTGCAGAGCAGCTGGTGGTTTCAATCTGTTGACCCTGCCAATCACAGCCCAATGCATACCTACTGCACCACCAGGGCACCGAGGGGTTAATTGATTTGGCCAAGGTCACGCAGCCATGGACTGGCTGCTTGATGCCATGGGTCCTTTCCTGCTCTTCTCCAGGAACAGAGACCCATGCAATGCAAACCCACCCCAACCACACTCGAGAGCTTCCGAGGACCCGTGGCCTGGGGGTCCTGCTGAGAGCATAGCTTTGGGAAGGAGCAATCCACGGTGGTGTCTGTGGGCACTGGAGACCAGCATGTGACCGTGGACTGATGACCTGCAGGGAGAGGCAGGCATGCAGAGGTGGGACTGGGACATTGTAAGAGACGACAGCACTCAATGGGGTGGGGACACCCTCCCGGGGCTTCTCAATGGGACGACCTCCCCTCCATGGATCCATGCAGTCTCATTCATAGCCAGGAGCTCCACTTCAGCCCCTGCCAGCAGCAACAGCTTTTGGAAAAGCCTCCCCAAACCAGACCGAGTTTGACTCACCTGGGCCACTGCCTGCCTATAGCCAAGTGGTCCACCCAGTAGAAGCTTAGTAAGAGTTTGCATAAGGAAGGAGGGGAAAGGAGGCCTATAGAACTCGTGTCATGAAAGAGGACCTGAGACTGGAGACAGCAAGTGGTGAAACCAAGAGGGCCACCGATGCCTCTGTCCACCCTCCCCCAGCAGACAAGGATGGGTGCGCCTTTTCTTGGTGGAGGAGGGTACGATGCAGCTTGTCCACATGGGGCTCCCATAGTGGCAATAAGAGACCTGGATCAGTGGGGCAGCAGAGAGAGTCAGAGAAGAGGATGAGGGACCGTGAGTTACCTATTCCAAGTGTCAGAGTCCAAGGAAAGGCAGAGA